GTGTGTGTGTGTGTGTGTGTGTGTGTGTGTGTGTGTGTGTGTGTGTGTGTGTGTGTGTGTGTTTGGAGTACCCCCTTGTGGGCTGTTGGTGTCATTGGTGTGTGCTGCCTGCATGGTTGAGAGAAGGCTACACCTCTGCCCTTTGAGCTAAGGGGGAATCTCCTCCCCCTTCACCCCTTTTGCTGGCAGCAGTAGTAGATCCCGTATCCTCCCATTAGGGCAAGATGATCCACGCTTCTTAACGTCATTTGACTGGAGGGTTGTACGAGTGTCTCCTTGTGGGGTGCAAGCTGTGTGTTGCGGGGCGTGGAACAGGCACCCCTGACTGCCATGTTCAGCGGGGGCGGGAGGATGGAGGCACAAGTGCGCCCCTTTGGTAGGCACTGGGAGCTGCATTAGCCCTCCCTGATGGGGCTGTTCAGTGTGTCCAGGGGCAGACCCGGGGGTGGGGGTGTTGCAGGAGCGCTGCTGTGTGGACCTCTCTCTAGCCAATCCCCAGCTGAGCCGCCCTTTGTGGCCAATCAGGCACCGCCATCCTGCAGATACACTCAAAATCCCCACCCCCTTTTGTGACTGCATGCCTCTTCGCTGAGCAGGGGGGTGGAAGGGCTGAAAGGGGAGCTCTGTCCACCAGGCTGGGTGCCCCACCCCTCCTGACTCCTCACGCTGCTCCCTTTCTGTTTCCCTTACAGGGAAGGAGTTCCTAGCCAAAGCCAAAGAAGACTTCCTCAAGAAATGGGAGAACCCTGCCCAGGTACTGTGCCCCCAACCCAGATCACCCCTCAGCCCCCCAATCAAGGCCCCTGCAGCCCCAGGCTGATTACTCTGCAATCACCCCCGGATCTCTTGCCCCATCACTGAGCCACTTTGCCACACAGCCTCCGCTGAGGGTCTGGGGTTATTTTTGCTCCTGGGGGATGGGACTCAGTGCTCTTCTTCCCCCCCGCCCCAATCCCCAATCTGCTGTCTGGTAACTGGAGGGCCAAGAATAATGGAGGTTCAACTCCTATCTGCTGGGGGAGGGGAACACTAACCATGTGGATCTCCTCCTGATCCAGCCTGTCTCCCCCTCCCCCATTCTCCTCCTAAGGCTCCAGCGTGGTCATCCAGCGTAGCACCAGATTGGCTCCCAGGGGGGTTGTGCTAACAGGGACCCTGTTCAAAGGGCCTCCATTTGCTGTCTCTCCCCACTGGAAATCCCGCTTGGGGTGGTTCTGGATAATTCCTGAGGCAGAGCTGCTGGTCCCTCTGCAGCACTGTCACTTTGCTAGTCCTCCCGCACACCCTGTGTCATTAATACTATGGCACAGATGGGGAAACTGAGGCCCAGAGGGGAAAGGGACTTGGTCAAGGGTATAGGAAGTTGGTGGCGGAACTAGGAAGCGATCTTTTGACGCCTAGTCTCCTGCCGTCTGACCACTACACTTCACTCCCTCTCCTCAGAGACCAAGGGCTAGAACCCAGGAGTCCTGACTCCAAGCCCCTCCCCTGCCACTAAGCCACCAACCCCCACTGAATGGAGCTGGGCGGGTTGCCTGTCTGGAACTTGATTTTGGTTCTGCCCAAGGAGCAGGGAATCCCTTGTCTGTGTCTCATTCAAAATGTAGCGATTACCTTTGTTGCCCTCTGGTGGTGAAATGTGACATCTACTTCTTCATATCAATTATCAGGGGG